TTTGTCTTCCTATGATCCATCCTTCCAGGTTTTGTCTGTCTGTTGTCCTTATCATTAGATGTTTTGCTTGGTTGAGTCTGTRGTGTGATATGGCCAGGTTAGTGCCTTCTCTGAATTCCTGCTGGAAATCAGCACTGTGTGTGCAGAGAATTGTGTTGATTAGCACAGAGGAGCAGCTCAGCAGGGAGARCAGCAGGGAGCTGATGATTCAGGTGACACAGAGAGCATCACCCAGTGAGCAGGGAATGCTTCCAAGAACAATTTTGCCTCTTGCTCTACTTTGTGCTTTTACAGCTTTTCTCTCTCTCCTAAAATAGATGGTCCCTTCCTGTGTCAATCCTTTTGCCTCTTCTCTGTCTTTTAGGAATGGGGTCTCTCTAGATCCTGCTCTTACCTGCTACACCAAGTCCTCTGTCAAATGAYTTTTCCCTGTCCTACCACCATGAACAACTCTAGCTGGTTTAAATAAATCAGTAATTGGTTAGATCTCTGACAGGAAATTGTCTGCTCTCTATCTTTTTACTTATAAACCTTGGTAAAACAATTGTGCTTGCACATCAGTCTGTGAAATGCTCTTACCAAGGATTTCAGTGTTAGCCCAAGTGTAATTGACTGGTGAGCCAGGAGAGCCCAAATTCCTGAAAGCAGCTCCTGGAAATCAAATGTCCTCACTCTGGGTGAGCCCTGGCCATCAATCTGTAGGGACTGACTGAAAATGGGGCAGGGCACACCCTCTTCTCCCACCTCCTAGGTCTGGGTCTTTGACTCTCCATGYACAAAATCCTTGTGAAGGGCAGAGATGTGGGGTCTTTCAGGGCTGCAGAGACCCTCCAGCACCTCAGGGACACCTCAGGGACAGCTCAGTGACAGCACTCCTGCTGTTCATGTGTCCCACTGGTGTCCCTGGGGTTGGTGTGCTCATGGCCAGCCCTGGTCACTCCCGTGTGCGTGGAACGGGCCATGGGAACATGTTTGGAGAGTCCGTGACCCATAAACACCAAACCAGCATCACAAAACACCACTCATCCTCGTGTACGTTTGGCAGAGCTGAGCTGATGCTTCTCATAGTGCAATCAAAATTCATAATGTTCTGTTAAAAAAGCAGCAAACCACTGACTTCTGACCTCAAAAAAAGACACAGKRCAATAGCTCCCCTTTAAYAGGACACCTGATTTTCTGGATGCARCAGCCACCAYAGACYACCTGCTCCAAATCACACATGGTTAAAAACCTTGCTTTATATAATCACCCAACTCTCTGCCTCCCAAAGCCTGCTCTCCCCAGCAGGCACCTCCTTTGCAAAGCACCAGCTTCTCATACTCAGCTCCACTGAGGAGTACCTTCCTCTCTTTCATTGAACCAAATCAAAGTCAACAAAAAAATGAGCAGAATCCAGAGAAGGGGATTCATTTTATGCYTTTTTCCATGTAGACAACACCTCCACTGCTTCTACCACATCAGCCTTTGAGCAGGCTTGGGGTAAGATACTGGTCCAATTACAGAGTCCACAAATCCATGCAAAGAACTCTTACAAATCCCAGGAAGCATCATAAAACCAGAGGGTGGAATCAGGGATAACCTTGCCAGGAAGTCAGGCCCTGTGATTTTCATGACAACAACACTTTCATGGTCTGTAGCCCAGTAGTTTGCCAGATCACAAATACTGTTGCAAGGAGAGCCAGRTTTAGGATTTTTGGTGCTAGACTTGTCCATGGGATACTGGGCTCTGTCCATGCATAATTAGTTCATAGAAAGGTGATGGAGTATGAACTCTGGCAATGAGACTTGGCCAACACTTTCACTCTGCCTCAGTTCTGTTCTTCTGCTCATGCTGTGCAGAAAGCGTGGATGAGTCCAGGTTTGGGGCTGAGCAAAAAGGATTGGGCAGATGGACTGGACAGATAGGATGGACTGCTTGAAACTCTCAGAGCTCTGCTTGAATTCTCACACTTTTGACTCATCAGATCAGCAAACACAGACATTTCAAACAAAATACTKACTATTGTTTCATCATCCCAAGGAAGAGTCTCTTTAGAGCCACTGAATACAAATAAGCCATTTTCTGAATGTGTTAATTCTCTCATGACTTTAACATGAAAAATATTTCTAAATTGCCATAATAGTTTGCTAATCAAACAGTATTATCTTCAAGATAACAATTTGCTGCATACTAGCAAGATTAGCTACTCCAAGCTATATTGGAGTATTAAAAATATATTGGATATTAAAAAATGTTGGACTTTTTTTTTTGCTAGTTTTCATATTGTCCCTCATTTTCTGACAACAACAAAGTTATTTGGCAAATTCTGACATTAMAAAAACAGGGAAAACATGAAAAGAAACTTGGTTTGTTTTTTTTTTCCTCCCAAGTGACCTCTTATTAAATCTTTGAAACCTGGAAAGCAGCTCRTGCTCTGAAAGGCAGAACCCTGTTAATCCTCCCCAAGGAGTTAGGCAAGGCAGCACAGGACACAACCTGGTGATATTAACTACAGAAATGATTGGACAGGCAACATTTCTGTGGAATAGAATCCCAGTTGACATTGCTGGTTTGAAATTAAACATAAGCAAGTTTTATCTTGTTTTAACAGAAAAAYTTTGGGCWCTTGRTGTRTCAGGTGCCTTTYAGGCACAGCTCATSCTGCCASAGCAGAGGGTTGTGTTGACAAAYTTACCAAGACCCCAGAAAATCCRGTTATKTCRGACTYAAAAATCAAGGGTTTRGTGCTAAACTCATGGCCCCCACAASCACAGAGGAAATACTGATTGTGGGATTTCTTTTTCTTTGCCATTTCCATTGCCAGTTTTTCTCTGCATGACAGAAATCTAATATTTCTCAGGGGGTCAAATCATTCTGGGACAAAGGCTGGACAAAATCACTCAATGCTATAAACTTTAACACCACCAAAAGAGTATTCTCTCTCCTAGACCAGCCAAACCTGCTGGAATTCAGCATCCATAATGCAGGGGTTCTGCTGGCATGTGGCAGTGAAGATGAGCCTGGGATTTCTGTGTCTCTTTCTGGTTTTCAGTGCAGGTAAGGACCAGGTTTGGTGCTGCCCAGGGAATAATCCAGGTGTCTCTTTCCCAGTTTCTCTCACAGCCCCATTCCCACATTTGGGGAAGGTCTGGTTCTCTCACCCTTTGCAGGCAGCACTGATGGAGCTCCAGAGCTGGTGACACTCAGCAGGACACACCCGGTGATGTCTGCTCCTGGATCCCATGCCAGGAATCTGGAATCAGAAAAGTTTATAAGGAAAGAGAGAGAAGGGTTACAAGAGCTCCTACCACCTAAAGTGTCAGTCCAAATTTAGCTCTGACTAATTGAGAGTTGTTAATACAGATGATTAACACTGAGGCATCATGATTTATAAACCCTGGATTATGCATTGTCTGCTGGGTATTTCTCCTTTATAAACAAATGTATAAWGGGGAGCTTGGATGGGCTGAGAAGCTGAAGCTTCATAGGAACATGGGAAATTAGAATTTTCTGGCACTGACYCCTTTGGAGAGCCCTCTGGATTATTGCACTCAGCTCTCCTCTGGTRGGATAGGAAACCTAAATCCCAAACACCTGTCTTCAACTTGTCCTGCAATCTCTAAATCACTTTTCTGCACCTCAGTTGTTCACTGAGTGAATCCCAGAGAGCCAGTCCAATCTCCTGAGCCCAGCTCCAGCCCATTCCCCTGCAGCACAGCCCTTGAGGACACTTCTCAAATGCATGACTGCCCTGAGTAGCAAGCATGCCTAGAGAAGGAAGATTTGTTCAGATTTGTCCTTATTTTACTCTCCACCTTGCAGCAAATGTTGCGTGCAAGCTTAGTGAAGATCCCTACAAAAATCTATTTTRTACTATTATATTTTTCTTTTGATTATTGAAGGGCAAACTCAACAGAGAGAAATGTATTTCAGTCTCTTTCTTCCCTTTTCAGCTTCGTGCACAAGAAAAGAAAATAAGAAAGAGAAGCAAGTGGCAGTGCTGGCTACTGCAGGTAAGAGACAGCACTTCAGGAGCCCGGGGGTTTTAATGGGATGGAAGGTGCTGGGTTGGGCACAGAGGGGGCAGCAGATGGGCCCTGCTCCTGCAGGGTCTGTGAGCCCCAGCCCACCCAAACCAGTCCCTGGCCAGGCTAACAACTGTCCCTCTCAAAACCTAATCATCTTTTACTCCTTTYTCTCCTTCACAGCTCTCCATTCCCTTTTATTTTTTTTCTTTCCTCTCTTCTATTCTGTGGACAAGAGCTGATTTCAGCCCTGGAGTGCAGCTCAGCTTCAAATTGGTTATAAATAATACTGATGTCATTGGAAAATTGCATTTYTCCTGAAATTCGATTTTGTTCTCATCTCAGCTTTCTGTGCTTCTTTTTCTGTCCTKCTCTGTTCTTCCTCTCTGTGTCATGCACACACACCTTCCTCCCTCACACAGACACTGCACTGCTCTGCTTCGGCGTGACTCTGTGGGAGGGAACCAAAAAGATACCTCTGAAAATTCTGACCTGGGAAAAACAAATAAGCAACATCAACAGAAAAAAACATGTTAAAATAAAAAGTGTGATTTAGCTACAACAAAATTAATCTGTTGCAGCAAGCAGTATAGCATCAATGTATCTGAAAAAAAAGAATAAATCTGTATTTTCATGTGGGTTTGGGAAAGGGGGAGCATTTCCTAGACACTTTCTCTGCCTTTTGTGACCTGCAGGGAGAGATCTGCTGCTCTGTTGGCAGCAAACACCCATCACCCAGCAGGAGAGGGCACCAGCACRCCAGGACTGGATGCAGCTGCTCAAGGGCATGGCCAAGGGCACAGCTGGCAGACCTGAATTTTGGCCCACCATTCCACTGTTTCTATATWTTTCTATATCTTGCTGTTTTCTGGACTTCTCTCTCTGTTCCTGGAATTGATTTTCTCATGAGGATCTTTTCGCTGTGCTCTGGTGCATAATCTGGTTTGGTTTTGGTTTTGCCATTCTGGCAGATTTCCAGCCCATCCAAGCAGGGGATGAACAGCTGTTTCCTTGTGCCCTCTTGTCCYCCTTTTCTTTGCAGAGCTGCCTGCGAAGTCCCTGGACCTGGCTGCTATTAACCTGACGGAGCTGGTGAACGGGATGCTGAGCACTGCGCTCAGAGGTGATGGGACACGGCTGGGCACTCACAGCCCTGCCATGCAGGGGGGAAAGCACTAAGGGTATTAGCAGGAGAAGCTGTAAACATGTGCTGTCTGCCTCCAAATTGCTTCTAGGAGCATGTTACCTTCATGTATTCATAATGCAGCTGGATTGTCTGCCCCAAAGAATTCAGAAATTAGAGTGGGTTTATATATAGACACAATGTAATTACTAATGGGATGCCTTTAGAAAGTACTTTATAATACTGTGTACGTCTTGATTAAAAGAAAAGCAAAATAAAAAGGAAGAAGCAATACAAATGATCCTTCCTTCAGTGGAAATGAGAGCAGATTGAGTATCAGGCAACTGTGTTACATCAGCACCTCAGGAATCCTTTAGACACTAAATGAGCAGAATCAAAACACACTGTTCTCACAATTTGTGCCAAGCCCTAATAACGTGGGCCTGTCTTTCTGCAGGTACCAAAAAATTCTTCTCTTTGCTGAGTGTCACCTCTTACAGCTCGTTTGCCTTCCACAAAGTGTCAGTCACCGTTTATAACAGTGAGTGTGGGTGTTTTGCTCGGCCCAGGAGCGCTTTCTCTCCCCCAGCCTGTGCAACAAGACACTGATTTTATCTCTGTCTCGCCCTCCAGTCTCCAACGCAAAAAATATTGACCCTGGCAAGTTCCCTATGCACTACTGCTACTGTTTGAACAATGTGACAAACGACTTRACAGGTGGGTACACTAAAGAGGATGGCAATTGCATGTGTTTATGCTGAATTATTTCCCCTGGAGGTGCAGGCTGTAGCCTGAATTCTGCAGGTTCCATCCTCTTGAGCAGCACCTTCACCCTGAGGTCAGCATTCATAACTCACCAGGAGTGGCTGCTCTGACTCCCTGACCTTGTCTCAGGTGGCTGCCCCCGGCCAGACTGGGATGGAGACATCAGTCAAGTGCCTGCATGGTTTGATGGGCAAAAGGCCTCCCTTTCCTATTTGGAATACAAATTGCAGCACAGGAGAGATCAGCAATGCATGATACATCCACCCTGGCCACCTCCTCTCCTGAGATAACCCAGAGGAGGTGAGCAAGGGCTTCTCTGCCCCAATGGACTCCAGTGACTTCAATGAGCCCAAGGGAAGCGAAAGGCAAGGACTGAAATCTTCAAAAAACTGCTGAATGGTCTACAAAATACTGCTGGGCAAACCCTTTCCCTTTAATCCTCATCCACAGCCCTGATCTCACAGTGTTTAACGTTTCAGGATGCATCTGAGGGATTTGATTCCATGACTGGTTAATGCAAAGCATCGAGGGTAACTCAGCAGCTGCAGAGCAGACTCCAAACCCTCTGTGCCACACAGGGTGACCCCACAGCRCCTTTCATGGCTTTCTCTGGACCCACACATCCCACCAGCCTTTATGGACAATGACCCAGKCTGCCTTGGAGAGCAGAAACTTTAATCTTTCTGCTGCAGTTCRGAATGTCTCAGTGACTGGAGCATTCTCCAAAGCAGTAAAAATTCAGGGCTTGGAACAGGGTTCATGTCCATCTCTCCTAAAGTGAGAGCCCTGACCCATTACTGCTGGGAAGCCCCACCACAACACCACCAGACAATTTTTGGGCTGACAACAGCATCATCTGGACCAGAGGAGTCCATCCAATGCCTCCTGGAAGGTTCTGCACACCAGACAAGCYATTACAACAGGCAAACCCTGCAGCCTTTAGATCTCCACCCAYATTTGAGCAGACTAAGTAGAACACTACTTTAAAATGTTCTCTTGAACAGATGAATTCCATTTAAGTTTCCTTTTAGACACGCTGATGAAATTTCGGGTATCATCTTTGAAATATATTTCTGCAGAGTATTGTGGCTTCTTATTGTGGCTTCCACTCCTCTCATACAAAATCTTTTTGAACATAAACATATTTTACRCTTTGTCATGTATAAGCATATATTCTAAATATCATCAGATATAAAMGTGAATTTTTGACTGACATAGATGATAGGATATGTGTTTTCAATAATAAACTTTCTCTGTTTGTTGTCTAGATTTTACRGCTCTACTTGTTGATATCATTGGGAACTCCACCAGTTACCTCACAGAAATTTTCAAATCCACTTCCATCCTCTCAGGTTTGCATTTCCTTTGGACATTTATCATTGTCTTATYTATCTCATTTACTCCTGGTATGAAAACAAGCATAAAAATGTGGCCAAAAGCTTGTAGCTCTCGCTTAACAGCGTTTTTCTTACAATACGTGGAACAAGATACATATATAATGTGTATGTGTGTAACATAGAGATATGCATGTTGTTTCAATATTTTATTAATAATTACTAAAAAATGTGAGTTTGAGAATTATTATTAAATACTGATATTTTGGCCAATCCTGATGTTATCTGGAGAAATTTTTCCATATAAAAATAATTGTAATTTAGAATTTTAATTAGAAATCAAATTCTCCCATGAAAATATTAACATTTGGATTTGATGATAGTTTGAGGTTTTTGTCAAAAATCAAAAGAAAAATATCTGGTCAGCTGCCATAGAGACATACTGGGTTTTTTTTGTCTGTATTTTTAACTGTTTAAGATAACACCATAGAAGGAAAACTGGTAACAATGATCTCTTTATGGTTTTTTTTTTTTTTTTTTTTTTTTGCCTTTCAGTGCGTCAGAGCAATGATTCTGATTGTATCTACATCTGTGTCATGGCAGGGCAGACAGGTAAAAGTTAAAATCATTACACCCAAAAATATTTCCCTGGTTTCCTTCAGTGGCGATTTTTACTAGAAACAAGCCTTTCTTGGTATTTGTAAACATTTCTATCTACAGGGAAAAATATGTCTGATTTTTTGGAACTACTAGAAAARTCTCCTGTTATTAATTACACATTTTCCAGTAACACATCATCTGACCTGGGTAAGTACCACCAGGGGAATAAAAGGAAAGAGCAACAGTAATGAAAATCATGCCCAGGTAGCACTTGCAATGAATACTCCATTGCCAYAGAGTATAAAGAGTTTAAATATTATTAATTTTTTATTCTTGCTGATATATTTACATATTATTACACGTATTTATTATAGTTAGCATAATATTTTATATTATTAAAAGTTTAATACAATAACTACATCATAAATGCAAATAAATTTTACAGAGTTTTAAATTATTTGTTAAAAGGTCTTCTAATGGAGGGACCAACAAAGCCTGCTGGGATGAGAGTTTTTACAGAATTCTTCACTTGGCTGGGTGTGTTCCATAGCTCTCAGCACAAATTGGGGGCAATTTTACCTTTACATGAGTTACCTTCAGAGAGGAGTTGGATACATTCAGTCAGTGCCCTGTGTGGTTCCTCTGCCCAAAATTGCTTTGCCAGGTTGAGTTGCACTTCAGATGCTCRCCTCTCACTGCTGCCCATCACTATCTCTCATTTTCAATGATTGATTAAAGCAGGCAGAAATCAGTTGTGTGTGCTGAAAGCTGTGGGATGTTTCTCTCCCCTTAAAAATTAAAAGAAACCATATTACACTGGCGAAAATCTCCTTTAATTAAAAAAGACAACAGCTGTTCCTATGGTAACAGAACCTGATTTMTTTCCTTCTTCTTAATGAGTGCTCTAACCCTGTCTTCTCATACCCAAAAGATCTAGATTCGATTTTCTCCAGTTTTGTGAAATTACAGGAAGACCAAAACAAGACACTGGATTCATCAGCAGAACATGTGTGGACATTTAAATGTGAGCACATATTGTCAGACCTAAATTTGTGTTCCYCCTGATTAATGTCTTGACAAGTGATCGGGTATGTTTGCTGCACGGGTAACTGTGATCTTAACCACARATAAAGGGTAGCATAAAAGTTTCTCTGAAACAGCAGAAGATGAGGTCAGTAACGCATTGAAGAGCTGGAGGATATAAAAATTATTGTGAAAACTGATTTTATCAGAAAAAATAAATTTTCTAAAGAAGCAGAGAAGAGAAAAACTCGTTGGTTTTAAACCAAAAAATAAGATTGTTTGAACTATTTCCTCTAATTTTCTATGGGGTTTTTTTTCTGTATTCTTCATCTGTTTCTTTATATGACATTCAGTTGTACTTGAGCATTTCATAAGCATTAGTACATTTAACTTTGCCACGGGGCTACAAGATAGAAAACTGCTGCTCTGCCCCATTTTGGAAGCTAAAAAGCAAGGCTTTGTGTCTGCTCACTCACAGCAGAAATCAATAGAAATTCTGACCTTGACTTCTACCTCCTTCTGCATCTCTCTYCTACAAAATGTCTGCATTTTCCATAGTCACTCTGCTGTCGTTTATAAACTTTTTTTTTATTTCCTTAACCACATGCCAACCTTTGTTATCTCTTCTAGCCACGAGTGTCAGTTCTCAAACTGCAATATCTGCCCTCCAGTGCCTGCCTGCTCACCTTCAAACAGACAGGAGATTTCTCTCTTTCCTCTGCAGTGAAGCARTTTAGGAAACGAAACATAAATTATGGGAAAGAAGAAACAAAACCCTGCAGGAACATTTCAGTTTCCTTTTTTGTTTATGAAAACTCACACATTAAAAAATTCAGTTAAAATTCCACAAGTTATTCACTTCTCAGCTAACATTTCACAAGTTATTTTCACTCCCTGTGTTTCCATGTTTAAAATGAAATGGAGAAGTGGCCACTCAAGTGCCAGAGAAGCACTCAAGGAGTAGATGGGGTTTTCAGGGTATATTTTAGATATTATTGTCCCCCAGAGTGTTGCACTCGCTGCTGCCATGGGGCACCAGCTCCCCCATATGCTGCTGCCCTCTCTATGTCTCTCCTGCTTCTCCAGCTACCAGGATCCCCCTCGGCCAGAAAGGAGRGGAAATTCCCCCCACGAAGGTCCCACCGTGGCCAAAGACAGTTGGAGCCAAAGGATCGTGGTTCCCATCACTCCCCGTGGATGCTCCCAGACCCCAAAGCGTGGCCGGAGCCCCTGTGAGCCCTGGGGGCAGCTCGGCCCCATTGCCGACCCCACAGCCCGGCCCCGGTGAGTACAGAATGGGGCACTGGAACTGCTCTACCCCACTGCTCTGGGGTTTGGCCAGGTGTCTCTGAGCTGGAGGTTGGAGGGCCCTTCAGGGAGACCCACTCGGGGTTGCCACTGAATTCATCACTTTATTGCAGAAATGTTAAAATCAGCAACAGGCTCCATCTGATCCCTTAGGGAAAACTCGGTCTTGCCTCTCACAGACACTTCTGCAGGGTGTGTGAGGGTTCTTCCCTCACACTTTGCTCTGAATTTGGTGAGCAGACTTGGAAAAGAAAACTAGAGCTGCTTGGTGTCCCCTAAACGAGCCTTCTTGAAATCCTGCCATTCCCTTGTCCACAGGCTTTTCAAGATCTAGTGAGGGACAGCTTTTGTCCTTCCTATTTCATCCTGGYATTTTTATATGCCACTGGCAGTTCTGGGTGAGGGACTCTGGCTGTTGAGCTGTCTCATACACAGCAATTCTTCTCAGCAGACAGMTAAATAATCAATATGAGTGGCAGGAAGCATGTATCTCTGTTCCCACAGCCGACCTGTCCATGTTTTGGATGCAGACAGTGTCTCCACAAGGAGCCAGCAAAGTGATGCAAACAGAGCCAGGTAAGACTGATCTGAGATAGCAACAAAATGTGTCAGTTGGCACATTTATCAAATAGAAAGTAATATCTAGAAACAGATGACTGACAATGCATTTATACATCACTGTCCATGTAAGTGTTTATCTTTGAACTGTGAGTTCAGGGTTAGTTTTTTATTCTTTTTTTTGTTGTTGCTTTCCAATCAAACCTTCCTTTTTGTTTTAAGGTGTCAAAGCAAGTTATATTCTTTCCTCTCCCCTTAGATTTGCCTTCCTCAGTGCTGTCTATGCCACCTTCCTACAGACCTGGTGTGACATTGAAATTTTACTCAGCTACCAGTAAGTAAATGCACTTCATGCAGCAAAAATAGCAGTATATTGGAAAGTAATGCAAAATAGAAACTTTCCCATGCAGAAACAACATACATTGTTAATTTGCTTGRGGTATTTTATGTATGCAAACCACCCAGAATGTCCAAGGGACTGCTTCATATTTGTTTGTGAATTGTACACAATGCACATTCGAAACATAGTTCACACACACCATGGTGATAGAATTAACATAGTTACTCTGTGAATTAATTTTAGCATTGATTGATTATTGGAGAATTCATTCTTTAAAATAATTACAAAAGATAATATCATTATTTAAATCTCCTCATTGGTATGAATAAAATTAAGAAACCAGCTCATACCACATAAAACCTCTAGAATTGTTCTAAATTTACAATACTGCAAACTACTTCTTCAACTAAAGGACCACCATCAACCAGATTTTCGTAAAAGCTCAGTTTTCAGTTGCTTGTGTTTCTGTGTGGTGGCTGTCTAAGAGAAGCATAAATGCTGCATAGTGCAGATATATATCAGACTAAACAGTGTTCTTCAATATCCTTTGGGCTTGATATTATAGATAAAACCAGAAGAGTTCAAGGAACATAAATGTTAGGCAAATATTTTTAAAACTCTGTTTTAACATCAAGGAAATAAAATTTAAAAAAAAAAATGACAGTATGAATGAGCAAATAAATCCTGTGAATTCTGAAGGATCGTAGGTGAGGAGAGCATAAAGGGAAGATGATTGCATGGTTTGTGATGGAGTAGTAAAAAATGTGGAAAAAATATAGTTTATCACTCTGGTATGGGCAAAGGATATTGTGGATCTTTGATGTGGATTCCTAATAAATCTGACAAAGAGAAGGCTGCTGCTGATAGTCAGCCTGCTGAAACAGGAGACATCAGAGACATCAGGGGAAACTCAGCATCACCAGCAGGTTTTGCACAAGGGGAAACTGCAGCCTCGTGGTCCTTCTCTGCTGGTGGAGCTGACCCAGAGCACTGGGGACTGCACTTCTCTGGTTCCACATGGTCAACCCTTGGGCCTTCATTTTGGGATTACTTGGAGCCTCAAAATCCAAGTTTTCATCTGGATT